AAAAAAAAAAAAACCAAATATATGAATTATTCACACTAACACACAGGTGATAAATTCCTTTTACTCTCTATGTGTTCTGATCCCTTTTCGTTTTTTTTTTCCCCCTTCACCTTTATATGTATGTATATGTATGTGTGTGTGAGACCCTTCCTCTTTTACCCTAACGAAAATATAAATGAGAAATCAAAACAAAAAAAAAAACATTAGAAAACAAAAAGAAAAAGGAGACGTCTCAAAAATATATTTTGTAACGATAGAAAACCACATATACACAAATGTACACACATGTATATATTTGACACAGAGAATCATTTTTTTATTCGATGTCACTTCAACCTAGTCATACGAATGCAGTGTTGGTAGCGGATTCCATTAAGAGAAAGCAGAGTTAATAGGGCATCAAAGAGGGAAGAAAAAAAAAAAAAAAAAAAAGACGGAGGGCTACAACTCAGCGTCTGTAATTAAAATAATGTTGCCGTTTGTTTTGTCAACTTCGACAATCTGTGAAATCAGAGAAGCGAAGTGGAAAAATAATTCAATATTTCATCAACCCCCTTCAATATGAAAAGTGAATCTCTTCCACTTCCGATCCCGTTTTTTTTTTTTTTTTTTGTTGTTGTTCTTGTTCTCTCCCTCTTGGCACTCGTTTACTTCGTTGTTTTTTTTGTTTTGAGTTTGTTTGAACAATTTTGATGCATCGTCTTTTCTTTCTCTTTTTTTTTTTTTTTATCCGTTTCCTTTTTTTTTTCTTTTTCTTCCTTTTTCGCTATGCCGTCTGATGTGTTGTACATCACTTCCATGTCTCATCGCCTTTGCCCGAGCGTCAACGGTACTTTTTTTTTTTCTTTTTTTCTCTTTAGTGTTCGGCACGGCTGTCATGCACAAAGCGGCGGCGGAGTGCAGTGTCCCGCTGCTGACGGACATTCGCCTCGTTGAGTCCCTCTTCGCCGACCAAATCACCGGCCGCAGCGAAGGCCGCCTGACGAGACCCGCGAATGTGTTCATTTAAGGATTTACGAGCGGTGCTGCTGGTAACACGATCAGCGACGTAATCCACTGGGGTTTGATAGTACGTACCTTCATTCAACGCCAAGGCTACAAAAATGAATATAATGGCATTGCGTGCAAGAGTTAAATGAGCTCTTTTTTCTTCAGGATTCTGACGCCACTTACGGCAAAACCACGAGACAATAGGAATTTGCCAAGTTGTAGGCATCCAGTAATTGGAGGTGTCGTGCAGTAGTACCGCGACTGGAATTCCCATGGCAACGGCGAGTACCACAGTTTTGCTACGAAGGAGTGGGACATTGAGGGCTTCCGCGCGGTGCACGAAAGAACTTACGCTGAGAGCCACACTGTCCATTCCGTTGTATATATTCCCGTTTTTTCTTTTTTGTTGTTGTTGTTCTCTATATTATTAGATTGCCGTTTTTCGTTCTTGTTTTTTTTTTTTTTTAGTTGTTGGGCTTCTTTCCTTTTACTTTCGTTCCTTTCTTTCGTCCTTTGGTAATTAGCTCGACTTCTACTTTAGTGATGTGTTAAAGGATAAAAGAAAAAACACATTTAAATAGAGAAAAAAAAAGAAACAAGGGTAAATATTTCCAATAAACCAAGCCTCACAAACAGAAAAAAAAAAAAAACTCATGACCTAAAGTAATGTATAGATATGGATTATATCATGATATATATATATATATATATATATAGGTATGTCTTGTAATCATTTTAAAATCACCAGAGCTGGTAGAACGAAAAATAGCATAGGTGAACAAGAACAACAACAACAACAAAAAAATGTGGAACGAACGCTTGTTTCTTGTTTTCCCCCTTTCTTATAATCATTTTTTTTTTTTTTTTAATCTCTTCTGAACGATATTGCAGAGAAAAATAGAAAGGAAAAGAAAAAATAATGCACTCACAAATACAAGCGCTCCTATTTTTTATTTTATGTTTTTTTTTTTTCTTTTCACTCTTGACGTCAGTGAATTGAACCTTTGACCTACACAAACAAAAATAAAATAAAAAACCTTATCCACAGAATCAAGACGATACTCTACACAAAAAGACACAGGAAACAAACGTATTCATAAAGCAAACAGAATCAGCAAAGTAACGAAACAAGGAAAAAAAAAAAAAGAAAAAGAGAGGATAAGGTTAACCCTCGACAAAGCACACACACACACATACAAAACAACAAGAACAACAAACAAACATACAAAAATAAAATTGCCCATCATTAACACAATTCATAACTTCACCTTAGATTACGTTGATGATTGAGTGACCATGTTTGCGCAATCATCACATATCTTCGTGGCTTCATTAAAACCCAATGCAGGGATTAAACCCCTTGAATCGCTACACTGATTGCATACTAGTCTACCACAACTACGACAGTGGTGACGCGAGAATCGCCCAATGGAGGAGTGGCAAATCATGCACGCTGGTGAAGAGTCATCTGGTTGCCAAACTTTAATGTGTTGCCGATGACGTCGAAGACATATTGGACAATCCCACTGCTGCGGTGGAGTTACAAACCGGGTACCGCACTTTGGACATTTTGGGGTATATGTACGGTTCAGCAGATCGCTGCTAGCTTGTGGTGGTGCCTTCATATTATGCTCCACACGTGTTTGTTGAATTTCCTGTTTTGTCTCTCTACTGAACTCTAGCGGGTGACTTGCCACATATTCCTCCCACGCCTTCTTCTGTGATTTATTTTTGTTAGTTTTAGCGGCGTTGTGTTTGGCGCGTTCAGCGGCGAGTGCTTCCTGTTCTTCCTGCAGTTCCCGCGCACGAGCCTCCCGCCGGCGCCGCCGCCTCTCGGCCCGCTGCCTGGCGGCCTCTTCTTCTTCTTCTTCCTCCCTTTCTTCTCTCGCCTCCTTTTCGGCCGCCTCCGCCGCCTTCTCGCGGGCCTCCGCCTCGCACTCCAACTCGAGCCGCTGCTGCCGGCTGAGAAGTTCGGCCTCGCGGCGGGCCGCCTGTTCTCTGCGCGTCTGCAGCGCCATGCGGAGTTCCTGCCAAATCTCCTCCACGTGGCGGTCGTTGCACATCTCGCCGTATATCTTCGCCATGTCCTTCACGGAAACGTACTCCAGCAGGGCCATGTCTTCCTCCGTGTAGCCACCCCGCAGCGACTTGAGCAGACGCTGCACAGGCTCACCAAGGTCCTCAAACCGAATTGTACCCTTCGTGGTCATGATCACAGACAGAGACACACAAGTACAGATCAAAAACAAACAAACAAAAAAAAAATAATAACAACTATATTTCCTATCAAGTACTACAACATAGAAATCAGAAGAAAAAAGAAAAAAAAAAAGGATACTGAATTCTACATACATAAAAGTACACATAAGAAACAAAAAACAAAAAGAAATGTACCCCACATATTCTACCGTTATCGTATAAATAAATAAATAAATAAATATATATATATATATATATATATATATATATATATTGTTTATCCCCACATAGGAAAGTTAAACTCGCTCTGGTGCAACTACAACAATAACAATAAAAACACTCCGATATTTAGGCGACTGTTGTAGCCACTGGAGTCGGCATCTTTACGCCAGTCCAAAAATAATGACCTGTATCTATTTTATTTGTAAGTGAAAAACTTAGTTGTAACTGACGTGTGGCAATTGACCTCAATACATCCGGGCACGCCATAACATACTGAAGATCCACTTCCCTAACTTGATGGGTTAAAGCGCACCTCGAAAGGTCTTTCGGGGGCACAAACTTTGTCCAATCATGGGTTCCAGGTGGAACCAACCCAGTTATATACTCCGCAACACCAATAAATCCCACAGCTGCACGAAAAGACTTATCCATTGTGGAAACCACTAGTATCCCACCAGGTTTGGTTGCTGCACATAGATCCTGCACAAATCCTGCGGCATCCTCCACATGCTCCATCACTTCAGAGGCCACAACAAGATCAAATTGCTGCTTCTCCTCCTGTGCAATGGTGTGAAGTGAGACATGGCGGTAATTAAGCTGCACGAGCTCACCGTGTGTGTGTGCCACACTCCGCAGCAGCTGTCCACGACGTCGCAGTGCGACCGCTACACCTTCGGCGCCGGCGTCAATGCCAAGCACGTGGCCCCCGAGGCGTGCGAGACTCTCTGAGAGAACACCGCCGCCGCAGCCAACGTCCAACACCCGCATGCCGCGCAGTGCGTCCGCGGTGGTGTGCGGCGTGTTGCGACGGGCGTACTGTTGACAGGCGCGGTGTATATACGCCACGCGGGCGGGATTGAGAAGATGTAAAGTGCGGAGTGGACCGTCGGGATCCCACCAGTGACGCTGCAGCTGCCGGAACTTGGCGAGTTCTGCGGCAGAGGCACCGTGACTAGCGACTGTTGTCATTTTAAACCTTCTAATAGTCTTATTTATTCCCGTGTATGTGTATGTGTACTGATTAGCAACAAGAGGAGTGAGGGAAAATGAGAAGAGGAAGTAAATGGTATATACATGAGAATATATATATATATATATATATATATATATATAGAGAGAGAGAGAGAGAGTAAAAGGATACCCCACAATTCACCAAATAGTGAGAAAAAAGAATAAATAAGTTGAAGAAAAAAACAATATCAAGAAGAAATCAATTACAGAAGGAAGCGCTGCGCACATGAACCTCTATAATTCCCCTTCTCCCATTTTGATTGACGGAATAGCCGTAGAAACAGACTCAGATATCACGATTGCAACAACACGCAACATCAAATATGTTTCTTTTCCACATAAATTTAAAAAAGAAAATACATTGTCATATATATATATATATATATATATATATATATATTTCTTTTAAAACGAGTCCTCTAAACCAGATAGAAAAACAAACACACAAACACACGCACACAAACACACACAAACAACCCAATAATGATGGCAGATCTAAAAAAGACCACTCATGTGCACGAAAGAAAAAAAAAAAAGCAGTAAAGGGATCGACACAATAAAGAAACCCAAATAAAGAATCATCTTAAATAAGGCAGAGGAAAGAATTAAGAAAAAAAAACTGATAGAAACAAGAAAATAAAAAAAACAACAATAACAGAGGTACAAGAAAAGACACAAAAAAATTCCATCGAATTAGGCATGGTTTTTTTTTTTTTTATGTGCTTATCAGCCTCTATGTTTCTTTTTTTCCTCCTGTATATTGCTAACGCTTTCTCAAATACAAACTGTACCACCTTTTAATCCATTCTTTTCCATCATCTACCCACTCCCTTTACCTATTCCACACCGTCACTCATTTGACGTTTCCCAACTTCCTTTCTCTAATTAAAACTATTATAATAATTATTATTACATATATGGCCTTTTCTTTTTTTTTTTCTTTTTTCGATTTCATTGCATTTAATCTTCGCTGTGCCGCTCTCAAGAAAAAACATATCATTTAATTTTTTTTTTTTTTTGATTTAATTCTGTTGCTCTGTTTGCATACATTTCTGGATGAGAAAATATGGGTTATTATTTCTTCCCATTTCATTGAAACAGCAAAAGATAAACGAAAAAAAAAAAAAAAAGAAAGTTGTGGCATTTATAAATAATAATAAAAAGCAAAAGACAAGAACAATAATAACAAAACGGATAAGACATATGCACACACGAACGTAGTTACATACGGACATGCATACATATACATATATAAGAGTAACGAAGTAAAAAAAGAAAAAGAAAGAGAAAGAGAAGCAATAAAACCAAAAAGAAAAAAAAAAAAAAAAGAAAAAAAAAAGAAAACAATTCTAAAAAAAATTTTAAATAATGAAAAGTACACCAATCTCCCACACTCTTATCAGTAAATATCACGTTGTTTTTACTTCACTGAAATGACATAAAAAAAAAAAAAAAGAACAACACAAGTATAATCTGTCCCCAACTCCTCTGGAGAAGAATTACACTGACGTACAGAGACGTCGTAATACCTGAAATAAAACAAAACGTTGACGTTCGTAAATGAAAGAGTGGTATAATAGCGGAGACACTCACCTTCATACGTATACAGAGAAATACAAAGAAAAAGCAAAGAATATATACTCATATATATATAATTTTTAAGCGTCTCTGTAAATACAATGGTGACACTCAAATGCCTCTTATGTGCGAAAAACCACTTTCAAGACAAAGAGCCACCAAATGAAAGTAAGATAGGTGTAAAACAGAATAATAATAAAAAAAAAAAAAAAAAAAAAAAAACACAATCCCTCCAATTCCCAAGAAGAAGAATGAAGAAAAAAAAAGAATATATAAACACGAAAAGCAGATGGCATTTCCCTTCTTCTCCCTTTCCGCATATATATATATATTTTTTTTTTTTTAATCCCATCTTCTTGCTTTTTTTTAATTTTAAACGCGTGCACCCTTGAATGTGCAATAGAGAGCTTCCCCTCAACTCCACAGCCTCTATTTTCTTCCTCCAAATTCACATTTCTTTCCCACCCCCTTTATTTATTTTTTTTTTCTTTTGCTGACTATAGAATACCCATTGCAGAGCTCCACGCCTCCTTTCGTGCGCCAATAGACATCAACGTCTTGTCGGTGATGATATCTGGTCGCACATTCGCACGGCGCAGACGCACGAGTGCCTGCATCGCGTCTGAGTTCTGCAGACAACTCCGCACTGCGGGCGGGCAGCTGTGGTGGGCGGCGACGAGATTGAGGGCCGGCGAGCGGAGGATCATGTGCGAAATGCCCCTCTCGGAGCCCTCCAGCCGCGCTGTGAAGGGGACGCGCAGCAGCAACGGCGGCGGCGGGGCATCCAGCCGTCTCTTCACCGCAGTGATATCACTATCACCATCACAACTACTACTATTCATACTATTACTATCACCACTAGTAAAAGCTGTAGCGGCAGTAGTATTAGTAGTAGTATTAGTAATTGGAGTAGAGCAATTAGGAGTTGGGAAGGAAAGAAGGGGTGAGGAAATTTTTAGATTGGATGAAGTATTCACAGATGTGGGAGACCATCCAAGAAACGGCCGTGCGTGTTCTAACGTATATGTACCTTTAAAATTGCAGGAATCATTAATGGCATCCGTCATTGATGAATTCTCCAACTTTACATCCATAATGTTAAAACCACAAAGAAGAAGGATGAAAAAATCCTCAACAAGTTTCGCATCCCCAACTTGGCCATTTACTTGACAAGTAAAATCATCATCATGTGTTCGTATACTGTTGAAGACTTCATGAAATCCATATGCACGTAAATCTGGTCCGGTAATTCGTCGACAAAAAGGACTCCAAAAACGTGTCATTACACGCCGCATGGTTAAGCGACCGTGAACATTGTTAATAGAGGTATAATAAGGGGATGTGTACCACATAAACAGTAATTACAGTAAAAGAAAAAAACAAACAAAGAAACAAGAAAAAAACAAACAAATGCAGAAACGCACTATTTATTCTTTTCCCTAGGTAAATATGTAGTGTGTTTTTCTTTTCTTTTTTTTTTCTTTTCCTCTCTATTCTTTACTCTAACAGCACACTATATAACGGGTTTGGTAGTTTTTGATACTATGGTGAGAGAAATATATACCGGTTCGTTTGCGCCGTCTACTCACCAATACACTATTTTCTTATTTCTTTTTTTTTTTTTATTTCCTTTTCTTTTTTTATTTTTCTTCTTTATTCTTTTTTTTTTATTTCTTTTTTTTTTTTTGAAATTCCTTGGTATTCCTCTAAAAAATTGCGACCTAGCTTGGTATGTGTTTTTGTTTTCCTTTTTTTTTTTCATTCAATCAATATGAACAACAAAAAGAAGCAAAAGAAGAGAATATCAATAACAAGAAAAAAAAAAAAAATTGTGCATCTACACACAACACCAATACAATACTACAATAAACCAAGAATAAGATCAACAATAGTTTATTAGCAACACCAAATGTTTACTCACACTCAAAAAAAAAAAAAAAACATATATAATTATAAAATGCAATTGGTTTGTAATTGCTAATATCATATTCCACAATCATTACAAGCATTCTACAAAGATGATACTTTGCGTTGGTGTTTTCCCCACTTCAACATCTCTCTCTCTCGCCTTCTCCTCTTGTTGCCCCTCTTTTCACCCCTGAGAAACCCATATATACTTTCCTTTGCTAATTTTCTTTCGTATTCTGGTGCGATGCATTTCAAGAACACGATCAGCCCAAAGAACTTGAGCATCTCTAATACGATCCGTGCGTTCTGGATCTTCACACATTTCCTTAAAAAATTTTCCTTCTTCACTTTTTAAGGTACCATTATTTGGTATCTCTCCTGGTAAGGGTTTCATTGGTTTATCGGAGCGAGTTAAGCGCACAACGTACACACCTGTTTGGTGAAACTTGGGTGAATAAAATGAAAAACCATCTGCATCCCACAGAAATTCTACTTTTTCAATTATTTCACTATAATTTTCATTGGTGATACCACTACAGTAACGCAATGTAGATGATGAAAAAGAAGAGGAAGAGGAAGAGGAAGAGGAAGAGGAAGAGGAAGAGGAAGAGGAAGAGGAAGAGGAGGAAAAGGATGTGTTTAATGACCCCTTTTCAGCCATGATGTCGTTAAAAAAGAAGGGATGATGTCGTGTTGGCCAAGCTGCAGAAAACCCTGTAAAGACCATTACAATTAACAAAGTACCTTGTGGAGTTAAAAGCCGCAGACCCTCACGAATCAATCGACATCCATCCTTTGGTGAAGCCACCGCCAACACGCCGTGAATAAAAACATGAGTGGCGGAACCATCACGTAATGGTGAAGAAACTCCCGTGACGATATTTATATGTTCTTGATACGACATGGCGTCATTTACTAAACTTGGCACCAAGTCTACACCGAAACAACGTAATCGACGAAATGGATCGGGAGGACAGAAAGAATAAATAATATTGCCATTCCCTGCTCCTAATTCCACTAAAACATATTTTCCCTTCTTTGCATTTCCTTGTATAGTGTCTAATTTTTCACAATCCTCTGCGATCATCTTTTTAGAGGGTAAACGACAAGAGCGGATGTCGCTTTCAATGCGGGTTACTACCTGAGTGAGTCCCAATGCTGAGAGGACGGCGTTGCCTTGCTGGACGAGATTAGAAGGGGATTTCCCGCCATGATGAACAACAAGCCAGGGACGTGATTCCAATTCTTTACTCTTTGCATTTCGATCACTCCAAGTTTTATTCATTTCTGCAAGTGTGTCTTCTTCTTCCTTATGTGTATAACAAACACGACCTCTTGCACATTGAAGGGCAAAATCAGCTGGACAGGGATGACGTCCTTTACGATTCGCTATTTGCTCCCACACTTGTGCACATCCCTTACGATCCAGCAGTATAATAGAAGGATGAAGTGCCGCAGTGAAAGGCATTTTTATTGGATAATGACGAAACATTTCCATAGAATTACAACCGTTAAATGTTATCGAGGAAACAAGAGGTTTTTCATTAGAGGAAGGGATATCTTGAGGAGATGGACCTGAAGACCAAAGGAAAACAATTGAAGCCATATACGCCATAATGATGACTAGAACTAATAATACGAACATCAGCTTCATTCGTTCATTTAGTCCTAGTTTTCTTCTTACGGTTGCAAACATAATAACGTTAAACTACTCAATTTAATAATATTTTGGCTCTATGAATGTATGCGTCTGTATGTGTATAAATGTTTCTCTACACAATGTCTCCCAAACGAAAACAAAACAAAACAAAAAAACAAGACAGCAGCCAAGTGCTCTGAATCAAACAATCCCAATCTCTTTCTAATAAAAATAAATAATAGAGTTAGGCGAATATAAATGAACTAAACACTCCCCAGAAAAAAAGAAATCAAACAAGAAAAATAAAAGCACTCATTGTAACAGGAAATCAAATTATATTTATAATGATAATATTATATGGTACTTTCCAAAGGTCATATCACCTTTACGGTCTTACAAAGAACATAGGGCTATTGATAACACACACAAATTACAGAGATTCCCCTTTATTGTTTAATCGTCCAACGCTACACTCCCATTAGATAGATCGATAGATTATTCGGGAAGCCGTTCAACGCATATCGATAAACCCAAGTATTATTAATATATATATTTGCATGCGTCTCGTTTTCATGTTTTTTTTTTTTTTACTATTTATTTCTCTTCCTTTTGCTCTTTTTCTTTTTTTTTCTCACAATACCAGCGTTGATAATAATAATAATAATAATAATAATAATAATAATAATAATAAACGTTCATAAAAAAAAAAAAGACCCTATCATTTTGAGAAGGGGAACGAGTCTGTTACAAAATAAAACTCGTACCATAAGCATTACACTCTACGATCAGTTCCAATTCCACATCAGCGCGGCTTCATTGAAGTAAAGGATAGTTTGTGTAATCAGTACCCTTCTTTCTTACGTGAGATACCCAAAGAAATAAGTATATACACCACAGTAAATCAAAGAATAAAAACTCTTGTCGCATTCTATACTTTGGATATAAAAATGCCAAAACAATGTTTAAAACAAGAGGTAAAATGGCAGAAATGAAACCGAGTGCTACCATCTTGTTAAGTCCAGATAAACGTCGGGAGAAAGGACTCTCAAATTCAGAATGAAAAAGAGCAGGATTATGTTGACGTGTAATAAGGGAAATAGCATCTTGTTTATCTCCATCATATAAATTCTGTTGAATCCATCGTTTTAAAGCGAGTATACCTTCTTCACATTTATCTCGAAATCCTGATCGACCTTTCAAAAGATAATTAACAAAATGAGGATCACTTCCTGCATATAGTTGTGAAATAGCCACACCTTGTTGAACCCACAATTGTTTACATTGCATTTTAGATTTATTAAATTCACAATTGGTGTAATTATCATCATTATCTCCTCTATTATTATTATTATTATTATTATTATTATTATTATTGCCTTTTTCTTTATATATTTCATCTTTTATTCCATGTACATAGCGTATCATGCGAGGAAGTACACCAATAGCAATCATTGACTGTGCTAGATTTGTACGATCTAAACAATCTAAACAGTTTACACGGACGTAGTGTTCTTGTTGATGTATATTTCTCCATTCCAAAGATGGATAATCCTCATTTTCACCAGACATCATTTCATCTTCTACTACTACAGAATTTGCACACCACTGTGAAAAATCAACAACATCCGAATTACCATAATCATCCATTCCAAGTAATGCACTTATTTCCTTCTTCATTGCATCATATGAAAGTTTTTGTTTTCGAGATTTAACATCATATTTAAAGTAACGAACATCCATAAATTTTCCATGTTTACTTTCACTTTCTTGTTGTTCTAGAAAACTCTTTTCAAATCCCTTAGAAAGTGGGAGTTCCAGTTGACTAGAAGATGTTGTATCCATACATTGTAAGGATGAAATTCCATGAAGAAGACCTTGCAAAAATTTTAAATGAGAAACAAACTCATTTACTCCTGAAGTAGAAGATAAAATAGTTATAGTAGGTTTAAAACCTAAATTTGCTGGTTGACTCCAACGCCTGGGAACCGAACCTCGTAGAATAGAAAATGTTGCAACCCGTTTCTCATAGAATGATGATGATAATGATGCAGATGATGATGATGTCATTTCATTATTTTCATGTTCCCCTTCTAAAGGGAAAACCCATAAAGTTGAAACTGAAAAGTTTGCAGGAATTCCAGTTCCACTTGAATCTAATCCTCGACGATTATACCGTGTGCCAGACCAACGGTAACTTAGTCTATTGATAAGCAAAAGTTGTACTCCATCTGTAGAAACATCAGATGATGTAACTATACCTCTAATAAATGAAGGTGTAAAGTAATACTTATCGATAGACATGGATTCACCAGGTGTATCAAATGCTTTGAGTAAAGGTGCATTCCATTGGAATACACCCACTGTAGTGAGATCTCCCTCTAAACCACCATCAATACCTACTGTTCCAGTTAAAGGAAAGTTAGCACATCCAGACATTGTTGTGGTTAATGAATTTCTTCTTTGATTTAACATTTCAGATGGATCTAATGCCAAATTTATTGTTGGGGAGTAAAAAAAGTATGATCCTCCAGAGTGTTTCTGGGAATTGGCACAAAATCGTTCAATTACTGCACGGTATTCTGCAACAATCTCATCAGAAAGTTCTTGAAAAGGTCCCGGTTGAATAGATCCTTCTTTAAAATCCTTTTCTTCATTTTTAGACAAATCAGAAGCTGTACAACGAACTGAACTTGATGCTAACGACATACATTTAAATTCTCTTACGGCAAACACCTCATGAGAACCCATAAAAGGCAATGTTGCCACATGTTCTCTCTTTGTAACGTACAAAAGAATAGATGAGGTTCGACCAATTGGAAGGACTCCATAAATGGCCCAACAAGGAATAATGTTTTCTACACCATCACCCCAGTCACTTCCATGCAAATAATCTAATGAAATAGTTTCTCTCGGTGATAAGCACAACACTAGATCATCACCATCTCGTTCTAAAATAACAAAGCGTTGTTGTTCAGGTTCCCATTTAAAGTGGGGTAACTGCTTCTCCTTTGGCACTAAGAAAAGACCTTCATCTGTAGTAACTATACTGCCAGGGGCATCATGCGCATGCATGGTGTTCTCTCTAGTATTATTTTATTTTATTTTTTTTTCTTTTCTTGTATAAAAGATGTGAAAATAAACCTATCGTATTCAAAGCTATTAAAAAAAAAAAAAAAAAAAAA